CTTGGAGTGAGGGGCCCAAAACTGAACACAGTATTCGAGGTGCGGCCTCACCAGGGCCGAGTACAGGGGCACGATCACTTCCCTGATTTTTCGAATCAAAAATGAGCCTCCCTTGGGCTCCCCAAGACAGGGAAGATCTCAGCTGATGCAACCAGACCCTCTTCCATTCCCCTCCTGCTTTGGCACAGCAGCTGTGGCAGCCACCAGCTGGCATCCACCACGCTGGCACCAGGCAGGGCTAGGGGCAATGCCAGCACATGAAGCCAACCGCTGACACCCAGTGCTCGGCCTCATCCCCTTCCTGGACCTCTGAATGTACTCTGGGTGACCTCCCTGGAGAAGGGAACATCTTTCGCAAAGACTTTCTCAGTACCTACATATACAGACAGTCTTCCCAAACCCTGCCTGGCTTCTGTAACAAGGATTTCCCCAGGTTGAACAACCTTCACACATTAAGATTTCACTTGATCCATCTTTAAGTTTGACTATAAAGATACTGTTTTATTCAGAGGCAGCAAACTACGAGGGCTTGATTTATTTCCAGCATCTCTCAATAGTCTCTCATCCATGATTAAACAGCATCTTTTTTACAGTCCCTCTTCCCACCACAGACCTGGGCCAGAGTGGAGTCAGGGAGGCCGCAGCAGCACCCGCTCCAGTATGGCTGGCGGCCCAGGGACACCACTGCCAGGCCAAATGGAGGAGATGGGGCGACCGGCCCTGCGAAGCTCGAGCTCTCCTCAGGCAGCAGAGCCGAGGAATCCACCCAAATCCCTGACGCTTCATCCCTGGCCCCAAACGCAACTCAGGTCAGCAGTGACTCAGCTGTACTTACTCTTGACTGGCAGCCCTCCGTCAAGGGAGATCCCTTCGAGCTGCAGTAAGAGACTGAGTGTCCCCTTCTGTCCCTTCTCCAGAAAGTCCTTTCCACTGGGGCGAATGCGAGGGGCTGGCCGGACCTGGCGGGCACTGCCCAACGCGGGGTATGGGTTGGGAACAGGGTCCAAGGGGCCAGAGGTAAAATCCAGCTTCTGAGCATTCCCTTCCAGCCTCCCTCGAGCTACAGAGAAAGAGAAGGAGATTATCAGGAAACAATCTCACCTCGTGGTTTTCTTCACCCACAGCCTACAAACAACGCTGAAGACCCCCTCTCCACCTCTACCTCATGCTTTCCCATCTTTCAACCAGCTGTACAGACCACCTTTAGGATCACCATCCATGAGGCAGCAGAAGCACCTGCACCAGTGTGAGCGGAGACTGGGGAGGACACCAAAGAATAAGGACACCAAATGAGCAAGCTGCGTCATGCCAAAGTACAAAACCGCACATCTATAACAAGCATCAAGGACTCACCTGAGAAGGGGCGTTTGTAATAGTTTGGAAAGAGCGTAGGGTCTGGAGGAATGGGTCCAGAAATCCTGGACGGCCCTTCACACATCCTGCCGTTGCTCTGCCTCCGCCACGGAAACCAGCCACCACTGAGAACAGAAAAGAACAGGGCTCACTGAACCACTGAAAAGCTACTTTATATATATGTGTGTGTGTGTGTGTGTGTGTGTGAGAACTTCTGACCTTCATTAGAGAGCTCACACCGAGCTACAGAGATGACCTGCAGGTAGGAAACCACCCCAAATTGGGCTCCATGCGGGTGAGGCAAGGGATCAAGCAGCACTGTCCCTATCGTGGCGCTAATCAGCGTTTTTACCAGCGTTGAACCTGAAATGTCTGCGGTTGCTGTAATACCAGTATCTTCAGTACAGAAAATCCTTCCTGGCTTTGCTCTCCCATATGGGAACATTTAATGCAGACATGGAAGCAGGAGCTAGGCTGCTATAACTGCCCTGTGTGCCTTTAGTGAATAGGAAACACAAGGCAGCTGGACATCACCTGACACATCCTAGCCTTAGATTTGATTTATCTTGCACCTCGGGCTCTTTCTAAATAGCTCCTGTGGTTCAAACACAACCTACCCAAAGCAAGCTGAAGCCCCACACAGGTAAACCCCTCTGCTGCATCCTCCACAAGAGACACGCCAGCGCTGTCACCACCCTTGAGCAGGCTGGGACCCAAGACAAAACACTTCACTCCAGGACCATGTAGGGGCAGACGGTGAATTTCTGGGGAAGAGTTCTGAGACAAAAAGAGCCCAGCTGGCCTCTCAGGACTCGGGGAGAACAGAGAGTTACCTGTTTAGAAAAACATCTTTTTCATTTCTAAGTAACTTTTCAACGCAGATCAACAGGGACCAGCACAGATCCGCAAATCCCTGCCCTGGCCCACACCGGTCCCTGCTGCCTCTCTCCTCCCCGCGACAGGAGGAGCACAGATCCTTCCAGCACAGGAGCAGCCAGCATCTATTTCCCCGTGACGCTCACCAAGATCTTGTGGACAGCATTTTACTGCCTACAAGAAACCTGAGGGACTTGCTCCCCACTCAGAAAATGAGGATGCAGGATGCCGCACCAACAGGCACAGACTGCTGGCAAGCTTTTGGCAGATGCCACAAGAGCCTCGATACCTCATCAGAGTCATGCCATGATTTTGACAGGCGCCAGGGCAGCTTGGCTGGCGTCACTGCTGTAAGAGCTGGGGCTACAACCTGCATGCCCTGACTCCCGAGGCAGTAATTTAAAGATTTCTGAGAAAACTCTACAGGAAGAGCCCCTTTCAGGATCCTCAGCATGCCAGCACTGACGGGACGCAGCATCTGAAGTTTAATTTATAAACCAATAAACGATCAGTACAAGGCTGATGAGTCTGAGTCATAGCATCTAATGCACTGCAGTCTTCCTTGCTAAATCACCCCTGTCGACATGAGACCCATTAGCAAAAAGCTGTTATTCATTTCCCAGACACAACTGCAGAGGCAATGCAAGCAATGCTGACTATTGCACACCAGCATGCATGTACAGTCTGTACCCAGCTACTCTGGAAAACTATTTCTGAAGAGCAGACACAGACTTCCAGCCTGAGATAAAAGGACACTGTCGGTATTATTTAATCTCTTGATAATGAATCCAACTAAGCCAGAACAGGCTCTCTTATTCTAGAGAAAAAAAAAAAAAAAAGTGTTCACCGTGAGATCACTCCAGAACAGCTACTGGCCTTGAAATTCACATCTGATCTTGATCTGAACTCGCCTTCAAACCCAGTAATTTACAGGCAAAATGACAGGCTGAAATCAAGACCTGTAACAGAGCAGACAATTAGTGCGGGGGATTGAAGGAGGAAAGGCAAGTTGACGGGAGGCGGGGGATGGAAGGCTCATTTTATACCTTCACACAAGTCACATTTCACGTCCCAACAGCACCCTGCCCTGCTGCAGGGAATTTGCAAATGACACTCACTCCCTGATTTGCAAGTCACATCGCCTCTGGATTGGGATCTTGCAAGATCAGACAACCTTATTACAATAGTAAGCATCTTGCCTATCTAGGTACCTCCAGCAAACTCACCTACGTGGGACCCAAGCCCCTAGCGTCAGTCTCCCAGCCCCGAGAAGAAGCAGCCAAGCCTCAGTTACCAATGTTCGGTACAGAGTTCCCAAGCTGCTGCTCTGCTCCTGCCGATCACGGGCGTATTCGGGGGACACAAGTGAGAGAACCTCATGGCTCACTTCGGCCAAAAGGGGATGTGCGGACCTTCTCCGCTGCCGTTCCCATCCTTCTGCGTCATCTCTTGTGACAGCTCTGTGGCGTAAACGGTCCTGTGCTGAGCCGATTCAACTCGCTACCCCTGCATGAAACAAGTCACTTCTTTTGCTGGGTTAGTTGTCTGCTGGTTTAACCTTCTGTCCAAAAGCAACCTGGCTGTTACCTCCACGGGGGGATCAGAGAAGCACTGGAGCAAGCACAAGGGAAACACAGCAGGAGCACGTGCTTATGAACGCAGAGGAGGGAGGAAGAGGGAACAGGGCCAGCCCTTTTCAGCAGTGACCCGATCGCTGGCTCAGCCACACTGCCTAATTTGCACCCAGGAAAGCATCATCTCTATCACTGTGTTAGAAACCTAAACATCAAGAACACAGTATCTGACCTGTTGCCACCAGAAAGACACTATTTAGAGCACTCTCAGGCTATGAGATGCAGGCAGACTCTGCAAACACAGTCCGGTTAAGTCCAGGTAAACAGATACATACGTGTGCAACTCCTCTCTCCTCTTAGCCCCCTGCCAGACTGCAGAACTCGCTAGGGAAGCAGCGACGCTGCTCCTAGCCACAGGGCTGCACCAACCCTGTTCCCCCATCACCTGAAATCAGCGCAGCGACAAAAGAGGTGCAGGGCAGTTGCCAGAGTAACCCAACGACTTCACCATTGCTTATTCACCCAGCCTGAGCCCGGCCGGCTGCTCAGTTCCCCACCAGGACCACAGCTTAATCCTGGTCTAGGACTCAAGGAATGCAGGCTCCAGCCCTATCTCTCCCAGAGTGTCCCTGTAAGTTCAAGAACCATTCATTCAACTCTCTGGGCCCTTCGCCCCAGCTTACCAAGTGGTAAAAACGCTACGTATGCCCCCGGTAAACCGAGATCTTTCAGAGCCCGTATGAACCACGGCTTCCTTTTGTGGCTTATTTTTGGCATTGTAGTTAAGGAAACTACAAAACATGGGAACGGACAAGGCTTTGGCAGGTGTTTTTCACAGCCCTGAACCTGCTGCGTCTGACTTGGAAGCACTCCCTCTTCTCCACAGAGCACATTTTCACTGTGCCTGGGTCCCTGGCCAGGAAGCCGGTACCACACACAGAGCTGAAGCAAGACCGGCTTCACGCCTTTACGAGCCAACCTCTGCAAAAAGCATGGGAAAAAAAAAAAAATCCCACAGCTGTGATCAGCTGTGATAAGCAGAGCAAGTCATCTGCAGCAAATCAAAGGGCTAACCTCCGTTCAGCTGGTCTTGGCTGTTTGCTTCCTCCCTCAGTAGTTTTAGCTGAAATGGAAAGTAGCACCAGGATAACCTCTGTGCCCCAGGGCGGCACATGGATCCAGGGCCGTACCTCCTGCAGAACGGGGGGTCAGGAAAACAGGTCAAGGTGCTGTGAACCTACCCAGCGATGTTAGTCCATGCCTATGCTTTCCCCTTGCTACCCTCCACAGACTGCAACGGAAGAGATTAATATTCTCCTTTTAATACTATTCCCCGTGCAGGTTCCCTCAGGTACCACCAGCTCTTCCCCACCTGCCAGGCTCCAAGAACCCATTTTCTCTTTTGTCTCTCTGAAAACAAAGGGGGCCAGGTATGGCGGTACCGTTGTTTGCATGTCGGACATCTGTTCTCTAGGAGCTGGGCACGTGTCCACCAACAGCCCTTTAGGAACAGAGGCAGCTTGTACAGTCTGCCCGAGGATTCAAGCACGTGCCCTGCAGCAGCAGCCTCGAGCAGGAGGTGAACGAGGGCCGTGCTCGGCCCTGGAAGGTGGGCAGAGGCTGATGGGTGTTGCAGAGCTGCAGCCACGTCCTCCCTCAGGAGAGCAAGGCAGGGCAGCAGGGGAGAGGCCCCACCTTAACGCGTGGGATTCCTGGCTGACGCAAGGAGGAGCCACGTGCTGAGTTTACAGGACCTGACCTGCGACACTCGGTCCAGCGATGGAGGCTGGAGCTGTGCGTCGCAGTCTACAGCCTCCCCTGGCTGTGCTGTCATGGGAAATCAATACAAAGCCTGTTCTGGGGCACGTGCCGAGATCCAAAACCCCACTGAACAACACTGGATACCCCTGGAAAACCCTTCTTGGCTCCCTTCGTTCCCCGTGTGCCTGGGGAGGGGGCTGGCGGGAGAGGCGCTGCCAGAGACGCAGACCTGGGGGTGCCGGAGCCGGAC